CGGGCCGGCCCGTCCCGTTTTTGGCGGGCCAATGGTGGGCCGGGCCAAAACGGGCCAGGCTGGCCCGTTTTGCCATCCCTAGATCATACTATGTATGGGAGTAGAGCAGGGGTAGGCAGGTGGCTAGTGGTGAGTCTGCAGCTGGTAGGCGGAGTTGGATCTTTGTGGATGTTTTGTTGTTTTCAGCTACTTGGTGTAGCCGTTGATGATGTATTTTGTTTTGTGCACTCTAACTCTAGTCGGATAGGGACTTTGTATATATTTATATTCTAGATCCTATATTTATATACTTGTCTTTTCTGTCTGGCGTTTCCGGTGTACACGGGTGTGTGTGTAGTGACCAGCCGGGTCGTTACAAAAAGACCTAAAATTTAAACTTTAACAAATTTATAGTAGCTTTATATAAATTATTAAAATTTAAAATTCTTTAATAATCACATTATTAATTACGTAACTTTGTGATTTAATCATAACTTTGACTAAAATTGATTCTTCTCTCTCTCGTAACAGAAGCTGTCTCACTTGATTTGTTCCTATAAATACAAAAAAAAAAAAAATTAATCCAATTTATACTAAGATCACTTTTAATAGCGTGTTTGGTTTTCATTTTGTAAATCAATTTTGTCTTCTCTCTTCACGTCGAACATTAATTTTACGTGAAAGCTATTATTTGTTACTTTCAATTGAACGTGATTTTTCACGTTTGAACTCCAATGCAAACACGCACTAAAATTTTAGAAGCCAAAATACATTGCAATCTCAAAAGAGAGAGTGTGCTTCTCACCCTACATTCAATTATTCAAAGATTAATCAATTTGCTCATACGCGGAGAAAGAAAAAAAAAATTGAATTGAAAAGAAAATGACGAGAGAAATTTTGAAAATTTTTATTTTTAAAATTAAATCTCTTTTTCTTTATTTTTTCTTGAACTAAATAAAAAAATTCTAAATTTTTCTTCCTTCTCTATTTTCTTTTCCTCTATTGAAACATAGAGAGGGTAAAATAAAAAGTTAATGGGAAAAAAAATAGCCGTAGCCTCACAGGATATAAATTCTGAAGTCAAATTATCAATGTCTTCATAACCTCACTCTTCAGGTAGCTACAACTTGCAGAAGCTCAACATTTAGTTCAAATGTAGCTCCAGGCTGCAAAATCATAAACAACTTTTAACAAGCACATCTTGTAGGCTTATTATTTTCATTAAAAATGAACACGTATGAGTGGACTAATTTAAAAAGGACAACAGGATACAAGATGTGTTTTCAACTCGGAGAGAGGGTAAAAATGAGTGTTTCCTACTTTCCTAAACTTAAGTTACGTGTTCATTTAACAGTAGAGGTGATTCATGACCAATAAATAGGTAAATGTTTATTTAACAGAAGAGGATGATTCATGACCATGCTTTTCCTATAAGGCATTTCTCCATAACAGAGTTTTATGTAGCTGAGAGTAACGATAAAACAATAAGAGATATTTACCGGAATCTCATTCATTCCCTTTTGTCCATACCCATTTTCAGGAGGAACAATCACAGTTCGCTGCAACCATTAAGAATAAGAACATAAAAAGAAATGACACATGACCAAACTAATAACAGTATTAGACGAAAAAAAAAACATAGAAGGATATTTGAGTCACCTTTCCACCAACTCGCATTCCTTCCACTATTGTATACATAGCAGGTGGAGGTTTCGGTGCTGCTTGAGCAGAGAATAAACCATTCGGGTTGTCAACAAATTCACGCTTCCTTTCCTTTCCCGGTGGAGCTCCCACCGTGAATACATACGGCTTTAAGAAAATAAAGCATGCATACATCAGCACCGCTCAAGTAAACTGAAGCAACTCTTATTCGTTCTAACAGTACCTAAGAAATTTAGATGACTTTGGAGACAAATTTCGGAAAGAAACTAAGTTTTTCCATTAGTACCAATAGTTGTGTTTGAGATTTCCATTACTTATTTAAATGATGAAAATAGTGTAGATAAAGTATGGCTTAAAGCAGGAAGAAATATTAAAATAAACTTATTCATAAACTAAAATTAGTAAGAATTAATTTATACACAAGTTATTTCATTTTTTTTTCAATTTTTTTCTTCTAGAAGTATTTCTAGAAAAGTTTCCTTAAAAAGAACTCGAATTGAAGACAACTCTTATATGTTAAAAGCTAGTTTTTGGGACTAACATAAAGGTCTATTTGAATAAATTTTTCTATAAACATTCTTAAGGAAAGTAGATAAGAAGAAAAAATGAAATAATCTATTATTTATTGTGTGAGAAATAAATCAATCCCACAAATACATATACATAAATAAAGGAACTGTACAATAGTGTGAAATAACGTAAAAAGAGATTTATTAATCTAATTGGTTTATCTAAGGCTTTGTAGGAGGGTTTTTCTAATTTTTATCTTTCTATTTTTGTAGTTTGGATGGGTTTTATGCATTTATCAAAAATATGAATGAATTCATTATTCACCCACTTTCTGGACATCATTATGTACGAGAGATGGCTGAGTGGTTTTTTTATTCATATGACACGACTCAATCAATTTTTTTTAACGAATTTAAGATTTTCTATTACAATATAAAAATATCAAAAATTTAAAAAAGAAAAAGGATTTTAATATTCAGTGTTTTAATTAAAAAATGGAAAAAAAATGTGAATTAAGATAGAAAAGATATATGGTTAATTAAAGAGAAATTGATTTTGATTAGAAACTAAAATTAATTTGGAAAAAGTCTCTTATATTAGTTTTTTTCAAATATGTTTTAGTTATATATAAGTTAATTTTAATTTATAGAGATTTTAATTTCGTTTTTTCTTCCCCTAAATCCTATAAAGTAACAAAGAAATTTATAAACAATTTGTAATCTATATGATCTTATAATTTGAATTTGGTTCTAGCTCTGATGAAAAATAAGAATTGTCCTTGGTTGTGGATCTCAAACAAGTTGCATTGTCTTGTACTGATAGCAGAGTAGGAAAAGGATCGGAACCTGAGCAATGATACGATTTCCAGCTAGGAGTTTAGATTCTCGACTGGATACAGCTGTGATTCCGCGATACAAGCAATCAAAGTGTACCTATGAGTGAGAACTAGAATTGAAAAGTAAACAAGAAACAAAGAACAATGAATGAGATGTGGACGCCACTTCCAAAATCTCACAAACCTCAACCGTTGTTCCTTTCTCAGCCACCGGACCTTTGCCCTCGATCAAATCATAGTATTGCAATCCATCAGCTGAATTGAATCGAAATTGATTGATTGCATTTTACATTGCAGAAAAACGGAAATGCGAAAATTGAAAGAGGAAGAGGAACTAACGAGAAGTAACGTATTCCTCGATTGGGATGGTTTTCTTGTTGCGTCTGGCTTCCGCTGGCGGAGAGAGGAAAAGGAAGGCGAAAGGCAAGGATGAAATGAGAAGCGCCGTCGACCTTCTCGAATTAGAAAGTGAAACCATTGGTCTCCATCTTCTACTTCGCTTTGAATTCGAAAGCACTACACCTCCATAATCCACGCTCCAATTTATAGAATTAGAAGCGCAAGCGCAACTGCAAGGGGGACTCATTGCCAACCCAATACTTTTCGCCACATGCTTCACCACCTCTGCTTCTCTTTTACTTTATCCACTCTTCATTTTCTCTTCCGTAAAATTACCCTTCTGCCCCTCCTCTATTTCTCTTTTCTACTTTCATGTTATCTCTTTTCGCCCTATACTTCATAATACAAGTTAAGTGCATGATCACTCTTTATTGTTGTTAAGCTTATGTATATATTATTTTAATCAGGAAAGAAAACTAGGTTAAATTATTACATATATGTTCCGGCCAAGAAATCGTCTAGCATTGTTCTTCTAGGTTGATCTGCCAGAGCATTCAAGAGTGAAAAGATGATGCGCCTTAGGTTTAGGGTTCAAAGTTTTATAATTACTTCCTTTTGAGCCTCTTGATCTCGTGAGTTTCGTGATCCTTCCCACCCGTTTTTACGTTTTAAATATTTTATTATCATTTATGGGATTTTATTCTTGATATTATTTAAGGGTCATTGTAGAACTCACCTTGCCTGTCATGGTGTATACTAGTCTAAAGATCTCGACTCTAAATCCCCCAGCAAGCTATATCGGAACGCAACCGAAATGATACCTATAGATGGTAACTAAAGCACTCGTCCCTCGATACTCAAGGTGTTTCATCTCAGCATTTGTCCATCGGTAAATCATCTCAGTATAAGTCCGAGACGGTACAGTTGTTCCACAGCCTTGAACCTGTAAAGCAAGAAGGCTCTTTAGTGTAGATCATCTCAGTTTAAGTCCGGGATGTTACAATATAAAATATAAGTTGTTTTTATAAGTTATTCTAAAATTTTATTAAAATAATTTTAAGAAAAAAACAATTTATAAACATAACAGAATTTTCTTTTCAAATGCTTGTACGATAAATTATGCCTTAAAAATTAAAAATGAAATAAGCCTAAAGGAAGGTTTTAGAATTTATTTTTTCTTTCCAAAATCTTATAAGGATGAATTGGAAAAGGAAAAATGAAATGAAAGAAATAGGCTTTTATTTATATTTTTAAAACACGAGTTTTTTTCCCCGTATTGAACAGTGCGTTTCATTCATTCTTCTGGTGTTTGTGGATTTTAAATAACTGTCTTGTCTTCTGCGATCGAGTTATATAGAATAGCTTCATATTTTATACTATAGGATTACACATGAATGTGTGTAATTTGACGTAAATATGGTGCGCGTGCTTTTGATCATGTTATACATGAAATAACTTACAAGAATGTCTAATCTTAATTAATCTAAACTGTGCTACAATAAGGAATGCAATAGCTAGCTTGCTAATTCTATTTGACCTATGTTTAACCATGAATACGATGATGCATGAAGCCTCGGTTACGTACATTATAACCCTAAACTTGCATGTTCCGATTGACACGTGTGAAGCGTCATGGTCCAGTTAGAAGGTCGCGGTTATTGTACTGTTGTTGTTCGTTATCGACGGTGCTGACAATGGTGGCGCCATGCTCAGCCATTTCTGTTTCTTCGGCCGTCGTTGGCCGTGGCGAAACATCCGGCGACTCTCCTGGACTCGCACCTAACGTTCGAGTTTCCGCTCGTCCCTTGGATGCTTTCTTCTTCAGAGCATTCTTATGCCACTGTTTCAGAGCCCTCGATGTTTGATCATCAAATATTGACTTCTTCATCGTTGATCCCATCTGAAATTTATGCATTTTTTTCTCCTTCAAACTTCACATTACAAATGGAGACCAAAACACACAAATATTAATAGTAGCATATGAAGAAAAGAAGCTAGTGAATGCACCTGTGTTACAAGTGCATAGAGTGGAAGTGTGACATAGCTGCAAACAACTTGAGCTCCTATCCTGCAAAATTTAATGAATAATGTTATTTCAATTACAAATTTTATATCCTCTTTTTTTAATAATGTGAAATCTTGTTTGTATGTGAATCAATATTATGTATGTCATAATATATCTTGCCATGTATTGACAATTCAAGTTGATACATAAATATATGTCAGTTGTTTTTCTTAAATCAATGATGTGGATTAAAGATTCTTAAATAGTTATAATAATTGCTTGTGTAACTGTTATGTTAAATGTAACTATTATCACTGCAAAAGGGACATGACGTACCCAAGAGCTACTCTGACAATCATGAGACTATCATCCTCGTAAAAGCAAGAAGCCCAACCAAATTCATACTGTGCCAGAAGGAAGTGTTTTAAGGTTTCTAGAATCAAATACACAATGGTGAATGAGAAAAAGAAAATTGGAAGCATGAACCGTTAATTACCCATGTCCACCAGAAGTACGTCAGCTCAAATGCATTCTGTGAAACAATTCATCAAGTTGTGAGAAATTCCTCAAATATTAATTCAGGATCTCAGATATGCTACTGAACTATTATTATAAAATGAAGAGTACCTGAAAGAGGACATAATGGATGAGATAAAGAACTAACTGAGGCCATGCAAACCAAAAATACTTGTCAGAGACTTGCACAAGAGGGATCCCCTGCACTACAGCATGCCTTTCTTTTATGTCAAGTGCCATTCGAGTGATAATTGCTTGAAGCTTTGTTCCAACAGCCAGAATCACCTTTAAGTTAATCAATTATCAGTCTTTTCTCTTTTTATCAAAACTCAAGTACAAACACTCACACAATTGGCAGTAAAGATATATCTGCAGAATAAACCACCAATTTCATCCTCAAACTATTACCTCAGTCCCTAATACTTCAATATTAAGAGACTACTTAGCATGATGTATCATACTTCTAGGATTACTTAATAGTTTTTTCTTATTCTAAGGAATATTTAAGAGGGGAAAAAAAAAGCATTTCAAGGATCAAATTGATATCTACTCACCAATAGTGGAAGAAAAGACACCCAGAATGAAGCATGCCATCCTGAAAAGAAGTTAGCAATTACGTTCAATCAGAAATTGAGTTCAAAATAAGGAAACCAATTGATAATTTGGCGAAAGACAAACCATGGACATTCACAAGCAAGAATAACACCACTGATGCCCAAAGAATTGGACTGCCAAAGCACAAATATACCCATTAGAAGAAACCAAAGATTAAAGGATTCAGGAACAAAGTATCCTACAAATGACTCCATAAGGCCAAATTTCTATAACACAAAATCAAAGTCTTAGCGAACTTGTCAAGATTACCTGATTCCTACAACTACCTTAAAGTCATCTTCTAATGACCTCTTGATATATTTCTGAAAATCAAACTTACTTCCGGGTGCTAAATGGACCTGCAAAAATGAAGGGGACATTAGTCAACGAAAAAGACAAAACTGTGAAAGCATAATACCGATGTTGCATTGTAAAAACCACTAACAGTCACAAAACCATGTCTCATGGTCAAATAGTCGGCCCTACGAACAGATCTGAAAAATTGTCGAAAGAAGCATACCTGAAAATTGACCAATAAAATATTATTGACTGTAATTAAACCAAAAACATGAAAAGACTAATAAATTGTAATGTTAATATCACACTTTTGTTCTCCATCTATCTTGGTATTCTGGTGCTTTAGATGTATTAGAACCATCTTGACTTCATTCATGAGTTGCTATTCATATGTACCAAAAACTAAAAGTAAAAAAAAACGAACCAACCTTTTCAATATACCAAGAATTGGTTTCACAAATAAACTTTATTTAAAAGAATGCAGCTCCAATATGTATCACAAAAGAATTAAGGAATGAATACTCTATAGGTGGGGACTGGGGAGATACAACTTTCTACACAAAAAACATAGGTTTGAGGTCTTCTGAGATGCCTCCGGTAACCACTTAATAATCTAATATTGGGAAGAGAGTTGTCAGTGATAATTGCTTACAAAATAGAAGGTAACTGGTGTTTTAGTCCAAAAACTGTTGTGATCCCTCACAAATGATGTCTCGTGAGTAAGCCTGAATCTTCTAGGATCTGAACAAATATAACACCCCCAATTCAGAAATTGAAGATGATAAAAAAAGTATGAGGCAAATTATGAATGAGTTATTGTTTTACCATTCAAGGCATCTTGATCCACGATATGGTCCTGTTCCCATGCCTTCCATCCACGAATCTGTCAGAAGGAAGAAAGGCTTTTACCTTTAGCTAAATATAACGAGAATCAAGATTTTTATGCCTGAATAAATACCAACCTTTGCTCTTCCAAGCGTCATTGTTATGGCACTGTATATCACATGGAAAACAGCCAAGAAAAATATAAAAATGTGCAACTGATGCAACCCGTTCACTGATATAAGAGGCACGTGCCCCTACACAACCAACATTCAATAGCATTAGTATTTCAATTGAACCATTGCAACTACTCCGATGTGGTGCAATCTGAAACCTTACTAGAAGTGGAAGTATCAATTATTTAAGTGTACTACATTTGAAACTACAAAGTTGTTTCAGCTTAACTAATAGTCTGAAATATGAATGTGATAAATACTCAAAAGAAGAGTTTTGTTATTCATGATGATCGTACTCATCTCAAACAGGATTACCTTGTTGGGTGGTCTCATACCAAACACAAAAGGTTGAAGGTTAATTGGGAAGAGTATATTACCAACTCACAACTGTGGCCTCCAGCTTCAGCACTTAGAAACCTACGTTCATATGATAAAAGCCTGCGGTGATGCTCTTCAGCTTCAGCCTCACCCCCCTCCTCTTCATGCGGTGCAGCTCCATGTTCGCCATGACCACCTCCACGCTTCTCAACGGGAAGACAGGGAAGCATCGTGTATGAAAACCTCTCCGGTATACACACTTTAGAAATGTAGTTTTGCCCAAATGTCAAGAGCAGGGAAATAAATCCCAAGATCATTAGCTCTGCATGCCAACCGAATAATTCATTATTAATTGATGGGAACAAACAAGACGTAAAAAATAAAAACATTACTGTTAATTGTGTCGCAATGAGTCTGCTCACCGGCCTTAATCTTCTCAAGAGCTTCTAGCAATGCATGTTTTTTTTTCTCTTCAAACATCTAGAACCAATAAAAACATGGACATTATTATGAATCATGATGACGTGAATCATGCATCATGTCCGAATCTATGAATAAAAAATGTACATTATTGTTATATATGTACCTTAGCGAATTTGTGTATGATTTTTTCCAAGAGTATAGAAATGATAACGATGATTGCGCAAACCGCAGCGACAGCCCATGTTGGCGTGAGATCTAGCTGCCTGGCGTCACCGCCTCCTCCTCCCGACATGAATGTTCAATTCTTGGCAAGAAAAAAGTTGTGACGGTGATGATTGATTATATTTATGTACGTATGAATGATAAGCAGAGTTTAATTAGAGTGTGGGTTGAATCTGAAATTGAGAACCATTGTTCCTCGTCGTGTGCAAAGACAAAATGGAACTGTTTTGCTATGTTGCAACATTCTAACCATCCCAAATGTACGGAGAGGAAGTACACACATCTGTCTCCCTATCAACCAATTTCGGTCCCGTCCATGTTTTTTTCTTGTAACTTAGCTTCCCCGCCTCTAGTTTTTTAATAATATATGATTATGAACCAAAGACAATAACAATAAGCATAATTAATGCAAACATCAGGCAAAAAAGTAAAAAGGATACAAACATTTCGCCGTTGCCGGGGATCGACCCGGGTCGTCCGCGTGACAGGCGGAAATACTTACCACTATACTACAACGACTCAGATGCTATCATCAAACACATTAATTTTATTAATAATTTAAAAGTTCTATGACCACTTGCTTTTTATACCCAGTTCGGTGTGTTCACTTGTACTTGAAAGCTTTCAGTGTGAACCGAAATCACTTTTTTTCTTAAAAATTTTTCAATTAAAAAAAAAACAAAAATTAGTGTATAATGTTCGCGTTCTACATAAAATTACGGATAATTTTTCTTTTCCTCCCAAGGATGATGATACCTGGTCCTAATCCTAAACTAAGAATGATGATCAGATCAAATCAATTCGACAAATCCAATAATTCAAATTGAATCAATTATATTAATTTAGATTTTTTGTTTTGGATTCAACCAGAACCAAATCAATTAAATTTGAGATTGATTGATTTCGATATTAAATTTACACATTTAAAATTTAAACCGACCCAAACCAAATCAATTAATTTAATTTTTTTATTTGGTTAATAATTATATGTATGTATCATTTTGATTATTTTGAAGATATTTGTGTTACAATATGTATATTTTTTTTATTCTTTTTTTCAAATACTTAAAGAAATCAAGAAAAATTGTATTACAATATATTGAGTATTATTTTCACACATTATAGTAATACATCTGAAATCTTTAAGTAAATTAAGAAAAGAAACAAAAAAAAACTATATCAAAAATCTATCATTTTAGTTAATTTTTATAATTTATCAATTTAATTAATATTAGAAAATTTATTTACTTCAAGAAAAAATATTATTTACTTATTTAAAAAAATCATTGGATATACGATGATCCAAACCAAATAAATCCAATCAACATTATATTAATTTGATTAAAATTAAGCAAAATATATATATATAATCCAGACCAATTAAATTTTCACTCAAACTCAAAATAACCTAACCCAAAATAACCTAAACTATGAACCCTGATATCCTAATCCTAATAAAAGTTAAAGTACCACCAAGGACATTACTAAGGTTATAGTGATTTAACTTTAAAGGTTATAAACAACTAATTTAAAGTTAAAAACGTATCTGTTAATTTTAATAAGTGTTTGATTAAACTAATTGTTTTAATAATTAAAAACAATTATGACATAAATAAACATTTATATATACTTTTATATAAATTCATTTTTGCTCTATAAATTATAGACAAATATATTTTAATTAAATAGCTTATAAGGTATCTAAACTCTAAAATAGCTTATAGACTTGCAGAAATGGAATAAACTTGTGTGCTACACACTTGATTTTGATTATGCAGTCAAATAAGCTAAACGTCCACGTTCAAATTCAAACTTGAAATGCAATGATAGTGGTCAACATATTTGTACAGAAAGGGGTTGTGATCCATTAGCCGCTGTACAGAAAAGGGTTGTGATCCATTAGCCTGTACCTGTACAGATGGAAGGCGAATGCACTCATACAGTGGAAACAAGTGATAAGACGGACAATAAAAGTACATGATAACTTGTTTAGGGATTTTTCGAAAAAATCAAAAAAGGACAATAAATAGTTTCCGTAACAAATTAATGGTCAAGGATCGGAGGCAATCTAAGGGAACTTGCTTTGCTGAGAATAACCCGGAACAAACACGGGAAGCTGGCCACCCCTATGTGATCTACCTAGCTGAAAATCCCTTAATGTAGAATCTCTATCCGGTACACCAGGTACTGAACTGCTAATTCTTGTTCCTGTAGTTGGTTGTTCATTCACAACGGGACTGCCAAAAAATATAGAACGACCAGTGTACAACAACTCTGTTCCAGAAATCTGGGAACTGCCAGGACCTCTAGATGAGGATGATACAAAGCGCCCAGCTGCTTGATCCCAAAACACTGACGACCTTCTATTATCTGAAACAGCTAAGGTGTTACTTCTCATTGGTACTCGTGGCACATTATCGTGAACTGTATTCATATTCCCTTCGCTTTCTTTAGCTGATGAAGGAGACTGATTTCGTGAGGGTTGTTGATACATGGGGTTGAAATGGTCTCTGTTTAAATTTGGTTGCTGCATTGGTGAAGGAGTTAAGTTGGAGACTTGCGGACTGCTAAAGTTACTCATACTGTGTTGACATGATGCATCTATATCTTCCTTGCTTGCTTGACTATGAGCGTATGAGCTCTTGGAAGGAGATAACCTTGATGTCCCTGCAGTATCATATTTGTTATGAAATCCTCGATTGCTAATTGGGCTGCTTCTTCCACTCACATTGCTACTGGATAAGTGATCGACATCATACGCCTGAGGTCGAGAACTAATTGGACGAAGCACAGATGATGATGCTCTAGCTTTAGCAGCTGCCTTAGTTGCCTCATTAGAATCCAACTTTGCAAGTTTCCATGCACTTATTCGTACAGGGCGCTGGTTCAACCTTTTGCCTTTGTCAGGTGGCTGTACTGCATCTGGATCAACAGTTGAGGGTAGGCGTCCTGGCTCCAAATGTGGTATAATTTCATCCTGTTTATCCAAGGGCAGATAGTCAATCAACATAAAACAAGAACTTAATTTATTGCAGAAACTAAGAATGAACATAGTAGTTCATGTGACAGTTCTTATTACGTCATATATGATTCAGGCAATTACAGAGAAGGCAGTACCGGGTGATCCATAAAGATCCTTGGGGGTGTACACCAGGCACCTTTGTACTGCAAACTCATTCCAACAGAGCTTCTTCCGCTTATTGCAGTGACAGCTGAACTCGTAGGAGATGATGGTAGACTCTGCTGTTCACCCGCATCAACTGAAGGCCCAGGTGGTTCACTTAGAGTTCTCATGGCAACAACATACTCATAAGTTGTGATACCCTGTAAAAGAAAACGACAGCTTAGAATATACATGTCAAAAGGAGTAAAAGTTCATGAATATACCTTTCGTATCAGGATCATATGGAAAAAGAATAATTCTCCCAAAGGTACAGTTGCAAGGAATGAAACTGCCGTGCATATGGCCTGTCAAAGGATAGAAAATTATGTAAAACATTGCAATTCACATTTTGAAGTGCAAACTGGAAGAAAGAAATTCTTGGTAAAAAAACATTATCATTTTGAAACAATTAACCACTCAACTAGTTACCGATGTTCAGAGATTGGATAATGATGATTAATTGAAGTTTATTTTGAACAATTTTCGGCAAACACAACTGGTATCAGATTCAATCGAATGTTTTGTAACAAGAAACATTATTATATGCAATGGAGAGTTTGAAATACATAAGTTGACGTTTCAAGCCGAAAAAGATCTCCCATAAGTAGACAGAATCCAGCATTTTAAGTTACACATTTGATGAGCATCAATAGAAGACGCACATGAAAAAGTCTATTGAAAACCAATTATGCACGTTTCTTGCAATAGGAAAGTAACATTTGTCAGGTGAAGTTTATTTCAGTTTATCCTGTATAAAAACAAGAATAAAAATCTGAAAGAACAAGAGAGTGATTGTACCACTATAGTAGCAAATGGGACCCGAGAGAATCCAGCTCCAAGTTTTTCAGCTATCTGATTATCTGTACCTTTCTTATCAACGAAGCATCTGACAAGCACTGCAATCCCAACTCCACATTCAACTATAAGCTGTGACATGTATGAACATTATGTAAGAAAAATACAAAAATTATGATCTGGGAGTATTTTTCTATGTAAAACAGAAGGCCAAAAGGAAGTGGGGGCAAGGAACAAGATTCAGGATGAGAATCTTTATGTAACTTACCCAAACTAGGCTCACTGCCATAAGACACACAAACGTGATGTAATTCTTCTTTCCAACACAATTGTTCAACCACTGAAGAAAACAAAGAAAGTATATGATAATGAATTTTTGAAGAAACTATTATTGAAGGAAGACAACCAAGCAAGCTAAGACAAGTGCATGACTGTACACAACATCTCAAGTCCCAAACATAAACAAATTATAGTCTACTTCATAATTATATTGTCATAAATATAATCCAGTCTACATTGCCACTTGCAAGTATTACAAATAACTATCATGCATTGGAGACAATCAGACAAACAATAACTTTCAAAGGACGGAAGGAGGGGAAAAAATTCTGAAAGGGATGCTAACAAGTTTAAAAGTGAGCATTTAAAAGGTTGACCTTGCCTCTTTTTTTAATTATCAATTTTTTATTAGTATGACAATGGACCATTAGACCTCAGACAACATTGAGTATTTAACAAACCCAGTAACTGACTTGGTGTGGGACTAAAACACAACTTACCCGACAATGGTGATCAAATCCATCAACACATTTGTCACAACTTCGACAATGCTTACTAAACTTCCGCACCTGCAACATATAACTAAAAAGATGTAAATACATCATGGTTTTTCAATATTGTGGTGAGGCAAGTAAAGGATAGAAAACTCCCCAACTAGATATTTTTAAATATAAAAACAAGAAACTAAGTGAAATCAAGGTGGTATTTTATAATTATTTATATAAACAAAAAGTTAACACAAAAACATTTTCTCAAATCAGAGTCTCTGACCTACTATTTATTGAAAGGGGTTATATTTATTCTTGAAAAACATGAAGCATCAAAAAAGGGGTCTCTATAACAGAACTTTTTCTGTTCTGCCTATAATCATGGCAGTTTTGAAAATCAAAATTTGGATTTGTTTACTTAGAATCAAACTGCATTGTGATTTATGAAACCGTATAAATTATATTTCTCTCTCTATTTTCCTTTCATCACTTGTTTTTCTCCTTTTGGCTTTATTTG